ATCTCTTGAGCCCCGATGGACAGGACCTTATTGTAGATGTAACCAACTGTCTTATTAAATAAGAAACACATAGCCAATTCAGAGAAGAAAGCCAAGAGGTCAGAGCTAAGAGTCTTACCCTTCCTGCTTCAGCAAATCCTCTTCAGCCAAGAGAGCTCTCCGAAAGGGGCCTACTTCCTGTGTGTTTGTCTTTATATAGTCTTTCTGTTCTGCCTTCTCATTGGTTGTAAACCCAAACACATGACTGCCTCATCACTGCCTGTCTGTAGAGACTTCCAGGTCTTCTATGGTTGGGATTGAGATTAAAGGCATGTGTCTCCAATGCTGGCTGTATCCTTTTACACCTTATACTATGATTCTCACCACCCCCTCGGCTGCCAAGCTCCTGGGACATCCATGCTGATATCATCTCTCCAGGCTCAAGCGGGCACCTATTCAGGATGGTCTGTCCAGCAGCTGGTACCCTCCACCCTCCAGTTTTCCAAGATGTCCCAATGAAGGGCCTATCTGCTCTTCTGCCCTGTGTGCTCATCTTTGCAGTACAACTAGGGTAAATGTTAATAATCTACTTTTTCCTAGAAACTTGCCTTCTCTTCGTCCTCAAGAAACAGATACCTAAGGTCTCCAGGTTGACAACTGGATGCTCCTCCACTCACACCTCCTGCTGAATATGAGCCCACCAACTCCCAACTTCCCCTTTCCCCATGTCACTCCAGGCCCACAGGAAGTAGCCAGACTTGAACTGGTGCCCCTATACCCAAAGAGTCTGGAATGTTTTGGGTGGGAGCTCCATCTCAACTCCTGGCACCCTGGTGTCCTCATACTCAAAGAGTCTGGAATGTTCTGGTGGAAGCTCCACCTCAGCCCCTGACACTCTGGCATCCATATATCCAGAGTCTGAAATGTTCTGGTAGAAGATTCACCTCAACTCCCCTCCCACATCTCTTTCCCCAAGCCTGCCCCTTCAAAGCCCGCCAAACACAGCTCCTTTCCCAGAGAGGCTCAAGACCACTGCTACAGGGTATTTAAGCTGCATCTCAGAAAACAGACACGTGGTTTTCTGGTCTCTCGTGCCCATCTCCTCTCTGGGAGGCTGGAGAATCACCTGGGGATGCTTTATCCATTAAACCGAGGCTTTTTCTAATTTGGTCTGATTTGGTCTAATTTGGATTGCTACATTGGCAGAGAGGCTTATTGGGGTGCAAAAAAACTTATCATTCTTCTGCCAACAGAATTAATCCAAAACTCTACTTTAGCCTCAGGCAGACTCTTTGGACAAGGCCCCAAAGTAGCCCACATTTCATCACCAAAATCTCTCAAGAATGATCTCTAGGTTACCTATTAATATTCTTCATCTCTGCAACCTCTTCAGCAAGGCCCCCAAGTTCATCAAGTCGCACTCAGCACCACTGTCTTCCATGCTCCTACCAGCATGGCCCAGTAAGCAGCACTTAAAGCATTAAACCCACTTTTCTTCTAATCCACAGTCCCAAGGTCCATATTCCTTCAAATAAAAGCATGGTCAGGCCTATCACAACAATACCCCCATTCCTGGTACCAATTCTGTCTTAGGGTTTCTATTATTGTGAAGAGACACCATAACTATGGCAACTCTTATAAAGGAAAACATTTAATTTGTGTGGCATACAGTTCAGAGGTTCAGTCCATTATCATCAGGGTGGGACATGACAGTGTGCAGCCAGACATGATGCTGGAGAGGTAGCTGAGAGTTCTTCATTTTACAGAGGCAACAGGAAATTGTCCGTCTCACTGAATGTGGCTTGAGCATATATGAGACCTCAAAACTCACCTCCACAGTGACACACTGCCTCCAACAAGACCACACAAACTCCAACAAAGCCACATCTTTTAATAGTGTGCCAGTCGCTTTGGGGCCATTTTTTTCCAAACCACCACAGGTTTATTATAGAAGACAGAATGAATGAGATAGAAGATTGTCTTCTGAGTAAATAAATGTGGACGAGAATTTTAAATTGTCAATAGTGGTAGTACATGCCTATAATCACTGCCTCAGCTTGGGCTACATAGTGATTTCCAGGCCAACCTGGGCAAAACTCTGCCTCAAAAAATCAGAAAAGGTGGGGGCTAGAGAGATGGCTCAGCAGTTAAGAGTATTTTCTGTTTTTTGCAGAGGACCTGGGTTTGGTTCCTAGTATCCACATGCTGGCTTACAATCATCCTGAACTCCAGTTTCTGAGTATTCAGCACTCTCTTATAACTTCTGCTGGCATCAGGCACACATGCAGTGCACACACACACACACACACACACACACACACACACACACACACACACATATATGGGATATATATGTGGGCAGAACACTCATTCACACAAAAAAAATCTTTAAAAATATAACAAAGTCACACATGGCTTCAGCATGGCATAGAAATCCAATTCTGACAAGAAAACTTCTTCAATGAAAAATGCTGAGAAAGGCTCACCACTGAAACCTAACCTGATAGAAGAATTTTGGAAATGTGTAGATATATACAAGAACCTCTTTATCTTTTCTGTGGTCAACAGAGGAACAGCAAACAGAAGGACATCTGAAATGCTTAGAATCATAGCCAGAAGTTCTTGGGCAAAATTCTGGCGATGATTATGGGTTTATGTTGAAATACTTCTAACAAGTGCTACCAGATCAGCAAGAAGTTGAAGGGCAGAATTGGTCTTATTGACTCCACCAAGGAGGAGGTGAATGAGTGGTTCAAAAAGTATATGGAAATAGCCTTTGCCTGAGATGGGAACAAAGCAATTTTTACTGTGGCCTGGATCCAAGGACCCTGGAGCAGTTTCCCCCGCCATGAAGTCATAGCTAAGGCAGCTGGGCCTGTTTGTTACCCTCAAGAGGAATGTGTCAATGCTAATGTCCAAAAGGTCTGCAAGTAGGGTGATGCAGACCCAAGCACAGGCCCATGTCCTGATGTGTATTGGGTATGAGATGACTTAATTCAAAGTGACCATCAATTATGTAAAGGACATACAGTCAGGAAGATTCCAGCAGATAGATCATTCCCTGCCACAGAGTGCACCTGAGTCTAAAGAAGAGTCAAAAGAGAATGATGATAATTGACTTGGGAACTCAGGACTGAAGTCTTCCCATTTATTCTGTGTCTCCACTGGACCATTCAGGACTGCGGCCACCCCTCTGTAAGGAGGAGTTATTTACTTTGCTGCATATGAAGAGAAGAGAGGGTGATGGGGAATGACTGTGCTTCTATAAAGAATAAAACTTTGTTTGTAGTGTGTCTCTCTGTACAGCAAGATTAAAAAAAAGAGAGAGAATTTTTTGATGAGATTTAAAAGGCAAAATAAACAGGATGGAGAAATGCAATTCTGAATGCACAGATTTATCACACTGCACCCCATAAATACATACAATTATTACATGTTAATAAAAAAGAAAAAATGAAAAGAAAAAAAGAAAAGGTAATCCTAACTTAAATTGAGTCTCTGGATAATATAGTACCTTCCTAGTAGCAGGGTAGCAAGGATGTGTCTATGGCTGAGAAATAACCCAGCAATCACAGATCATATGTTGGCCACTGATTTTGGAGATGCAATCCTCTTTCAGCACCTATAAGCTGGAGATAGTGGTTTCTATATCAGAGTTGTTAGGATGTATGCAACATACTTTGAAGAGCACATGACTCACAATCTCAAGAACTTTGCTCTTATTCACAGGGTGTACTTTTTGCTTAGTAGGATATCCTAAATACCTCCTAAAAATTTTACAGACTTGTTTCCTTTACTGAAGAATCCATGTAGTGAAGCCTTTATAGAATTATCTGGAAGAAATAGAGTACCTAGAGAAGTGGTTCTCAACCTTCCTAATGTGACCCTTTAACACAGTACCTCATGCTGTGGTGACCCCCAACAATAAAATTATTTTTGTTGCTACTTCACAACTGGAATTTTGTACTGTTATGAGTTGTAATTTAAATATTTGATATGCAGGATATCTGATAAGCAACCCCTGTGAAAGGGTCCACGATTCACAGGTTGAGAAGTACTAGCCTAGAGGCTTACAGAGCACATGCAGGTGTTGTGCAGAAATTTCCTCTCAGATAAAATAGTTGGTCTTAACAGAAGCTCAAGACACAGGGTGTTCTGAAGAGAAGTAAAACATTCCATCCTCTGAAGCTCTTAAACTCAGGAAGTAAACAACTCAAAGGCTTCTAGAAATTCCTGAAACTGACCAGATTCCCTCCCTCCCCAAGCATGTATAATCAGTAAAGCTGGCTGAGAGATGGGTCAGGCAGGCTTAGCTGCCTAGAAGAGCTGCAGATCACCTGAGTTATCCCAAAGAGACAGTGTTCAACCTGTTGAGCTTTCTGCAAGCTGTGCAGTGTTGTCCAGGTTTTCTGCTATGAGCTGTCTCCACTGCTGGGGTGGGCTTTTGGTGTGGGTGTTTTCAAGTCATTTTCTGTTCCTGTAAATAACTCCTCACCCATATTCCTGTAAATATAATTCCAATAAAATCCATTGGTTCACCAAGTTGGACTTTGTTGGTAGCCGTCCTTTGGCCTCTGGGGTGGGTAGATACTTGTTCACATCTCCCCAGGAACAGTGCTACAGGACAGCAGGCTACAGTGGTAGACTATGCTCCTGTGATGAGCTGAGTACACAGATGCTTGGGCTAGGGTAAGCAATCCTTAGTGATGCTTGTACTGAGGGCACAGTAAAGTTCTTTGGTAGAGTGTTCATTAGGTGGGCTAGACCAAATTAGAAAGAGACTGAGAAAGGAGGAAGGGCTCCTAAAATACATCTATCAAGTTTTGGAAAAGCACGTTCCTTCGGGGGTATTGAGAGCTGAGAGCCCACAGCACAAGCTCTGTTCCTTTCTTTGGGCCCACTGCACTCCAGGGGACTTCCTATCTCTGCAAAATCAGCCCGGTGGAGTCCTTCTCAGTGCTCCATCCCTCAGGTTCCACCCCTTGCCAACCATGTTGTCCTTCTTCAGCGGCCCCGCCTTCCTCAGCCTAGCACCTTTTCTCAGCTGTGCCCCCCGACCCCCCGCGCGCCTCCTTCACCTCCTCAGCCTTCCCTTCTCTTCAAGCCAGTCCTTCTCCTCAACCTTCACCCCCTCCTCAGCAGGTTTCCCTCTCCTCAGCCCTCAGTCCTCCTTATCCTCCCATCCTTCCTCAGCTAGTTTTGGGTACTTCTTCCCTCACGTCTCCTCCGCGGTCCGCGCTGCGAGGCGCATTGGGGCTTTGATTTGCTCCTCCCCCTTCCCTACCTCCCCGCCTCCTGCCGGCCAGGGAGGGAGACGGACAGCCGGAGTCCGCATCCCTGTGCACAGGCTGCCGCAGGGCCCAGCGAGCAGGTGGAGCTCAGCCTCCTGCGGAGCACTGGGCGGTGGACCGCAGTGACGAGGCCCGAGACATGGCGGCCACGCGCCTTTGAGGCCGCAGAGCCTCCCGCTGCCCGAGCTGCGCCTCACCATGCAGCTTGGCTGCTGACCGCCCGGGCGTGTGGCCCCGAGGATCCTCGCTGCGGTCATCACTCTGCAGTCTCCATGGTGTATTCCTCCTCACTGCTTCCGGCCGTGTAGCAGCCGCTGCCGGCCCGGCCTCAGGGCACTCTGCCTATTCATCAGGCACTTTCCCTTTCCATTTTTTAATCTCCATCCCTATTTGCGTTTCCTTTCCCCTTCTGCTTCGCGTCTGTCTCCGCCACCCCCGCTATGGCCGCAGAAGAGGTGCTGCAAACGGTAGACCACTATAAGACTGAAATAGAGAGGCTGACCAAGGAGCTCACAGAAACGACCCACGAGAAGATTCAGGCTGCCGAGTACGGGCTGGTGGTGCTGGAGGAGAAACTGACTCTCAAGCAACAGTATGACGAGCTGGAGGCCGAGTATGACGGCCTCAAACAAGAGCTGGAGCAGCTCAAAGAGGTGAGCTGTCTGTCTCCTATTCCCCTTTCACGTCCGGCATTTCTCAGAGCCAGTCATCATTGTAGACAAGTCAGAAGGGATATAGCCAGAAGGACTTCATCTTAGAGCCCTTTGTTGATAAGAGAATATTGAAAGAGTTCATTGTTTTCACCAACAGAAAAATTGCCCAAGAAATGAATGCATAATCTGGAATGGGAATATCTTTATCCTGTCGGGGGAGGGAGAGTCACAAGAGTGTTCAAGGATCAGCGCTGGCAGGTGACATTGAACTGGGCTGAAATACATAAATCAAATTTCTCAAACTGCTGTTATTTCAATCCCAGGTATCAATGACCATTTGCATAATCCATCCAACTGATGAGGCGTTTTGTGCTTGAGGACCCACAATTTTGGGACGGTAGAGTTTGGTACCTCAACTGTCTGCAGAGTAACTGCTTCTTGATGAAATAAGGATTAGTTATTAGGATTCACCAACCCTGTATGACGTTGGCTTTAGTTCTTATCCTGAGGCTGTAGGAGCAAAACAACTTTGCTAGGTGGTTTTGCTGCCCTTAATTTCACCTCTGAGCCAGGCCGGCTATGCTTACATTTTATGGAAGGCATACTGAGACTGAGGAAAATTAAACTCACCCCCAAATGGTGTGAAAGAAGGATGGAGATAATCTATCTATCTATCTATCTATCTATCTATCTATCTATCTATCTATCTATATATATATATATATATAATCTCCATATATATATGGATATCCTTGCCTTGCCTGTCAAATATGACTCTTCAAGTTGAAATGACTGTATTTATAAAACCAGAATATCACCAATGTTCTGTGAATAACATTTTTCTATTTTTTATGTTTTCCTTCTTTTAAATACTAATATACTGAAAGGAAATAATGAATATGTATTTATGTGAAACCAAGCACTCATAAGGATTATACATATTATTTAAGGCACTGAGAGTAGCAAGTAATCAAGTATAAATGTTAATGTACATATATACTGCTTACCTATGTGACAAGTTTTTATTTTTATGTGCATACTAACATTTTAAATGTTAGGCATATCTTAATACATAAATAGAAATACTTTTCTTATAATCTAAGTTTATTTTAGGGAAAGAGAAGGTTCTGTTTTGTGCTGTTACAACTAAAATACATGAGTTATGACATTCTAATCAGTTTGTCTTCTAATTCGCAAATAATGCAGATTTATACCTTTAATTATGCTATTTTTATTCAGATGCTTAAATACCAAAAAATATGTAAATAGATATGGTTGAAAACCATAGATAGAAATATAATTTTTGTATATAAGTCTATAAATTCTAGTTCATGCTTTTCTTGCCATATTCATATTTGGTCTTAATGGTGTCTGTACTTATATTTTCTAAGTTAAATTATGACTTAGGCTGACATGTTTAAATGTAGTGCTAAACCTTGGGAAGCAAGGAAACAGATGGTTATTGTAATTCTCAGAGATGTTTCTATGATATCTTATTTATTAACTGTGTTTTGCCGAGGTGGAGAAATGCAAACAAATGTTAAGTCATCACTTTCTTGATAAAAGAGGTGGACTTACTTGATGATTTAAAATATGATCGTTAATAGACCTTTCTTCATGAGTTAAAAAACACTTTTAAGGCTATTTCTGTGTTGTATGTACTCAACACAGTAAACCCTAATACAGTTGTCTTTTGTCTTTAGTAGACAATGAATTCTTAAGGGGATGAATCTATCTTTTATTTATTCATTTGAAGTTGATAGATAAAATTGTATGTATTTATCATGTATAATATTGTTTTTGCAGTATACATATGTTGTGACTTAATCGAGCTAATATATTACTTCACATAATTATTGTTTTTGTGATAACCCAACACCCATTCTATATTTTTAAAAAGTAAATATATTGGCATTATAGTCATCATACTGCACAATGAATTTCTTAAACTTATTCCTCCCGTATAACTGTAAAAGTGCATCTTTTCATCCACATCTTTCCTTTTAAGCATAAACACCTCTAATAACTACCATTTACTTCTCTGATTCCTTATATGAATGAGATAATGAAATATTTGTTTTTCTATGCCTGGCTTATTTAATTTAATATAATATAAAGTCTTTAAAACAGAGCTTAGCATGTAGTAGGTATAAAAAATAAATATTTTATAAAAATCAATTTGTATTAGAAGAAGATACACTTCTAATCAAGTGTTTGGAAGTCAATATTGCTTAGTGTCAGAGAAGGACTGAGAAAATTAAAGAGTGTAGAAAGTAACCACCTATATTAGTCTCATTGACAGTAAATAGAAAAAGAGGAAAATGTTTTATAAGAATGATAAGGAAGTTTCTTAACACACAATAATACAAATACCAATTGTATTTATTAAAATAAAAATTTAAACAATAAAATTATCAGGAACTTTTCTTTTTATCAAATGACACTCATTTTCATATGTATTTTGATTAACATTTAGTGTAAAGAAAACAATGAAGAGTCTCAGCAAGCAGGATTATAACTATATAAAAATACATTTTAAAGTAGTAAAATAATTGTTATTATTTGATAATAAGACTTATATTTATTTTTAAATATGCTTTATTTTAGTTGAGAGTATTACTTAAATGAACTGAGTCAGTCTTAAATACAAAAACAAACAAACAAAAATAATTGTGCAAACTAAGACATTCCGATGATGATGTCATATAGAAGCCATTTTGTGTGTGTGTGTTTGTGTGTGTGTGTATAGATCAGATGATATCCAAATATTATTCCTTAGACAACTTGTTTTTTGAGACAGTATCTCTTACTGGCCTGAAACTTACCAAGTATGCCAAGTTGGCTGGTCAGTGAACCCTAGGGAACCACCTGTATCTGCCTTCCTCACTGCTGAGGTTACAAGTGTTCACCACCATCAAAACATCAAACTTAGGTACTGATGCTTGTATGGTAGGTATTTTTATCAACTAAGCTATTTCCCAACCTAAGAAGTCATTGTTTTAAAACATTCTGGGGGGGGGGGGGAGCAAGATGGCTCAGAAGGTAAGGGGTTTTGTTGCTGAGCTTGATGAACCTGAGTTTGGTTACCCTCCCTTCACACTACATGGTGGAGGAAGAGACCCCACTCTTGCAAGCTGTCTTATCTCTACATGAGTGCTAAACACACACACACACACACACACACACACACACACACACACACACGATGTAATTAAATGTTTTTGAGTGCTCTGATTATTCATTTTTGGTTATTACCAGGAATACATAGCAAACAATATTGCTATACCAGTAAGGTGGCTCAGTGGATAAAGGCATGTTCACCAACCCTGAGGACCCACATGGTGGAAGCAGACAATCATTTCCTGCAAGTTGTCCCTCTGATCTCTACACACGTGTGGTACATATGTACACACATACATACAAAATGAATAAATAAATAAGTGTAATAAAATAATATTAATGCACTGTGACTTTATAAAGTCAAGTGTTAAAAACATCTTTGACTTATTTCTGGAGTCTTTAAACAAATATGGTTCATTGAAAACACCTGGAGTGGGAATGCCAACAGAAAAGCATGGTAGTAAGTTCAAGTGCGGCATTCGTGAATTCTGGTTTAGCAACAGGACTCCATTTTTGTAGACTATCTTCCTTTCTAGGCTAATATGCACGAAAGCAGCACACATGTACATGTGCACACCAAATAGATTACACACACACAAAAGAAAAAAAACTAATATAAAATGTACATTCTTCAAATTGCTTACAAATAACCTAAAAAACAGTCTGCTGCAGGAAGTAGTAAGAGAAGCTACGCCCAAATTCCCAAATATACCAAGCTGACTTTGGAGATGTGTAAAGGTTAAAACCTTCCTTTTTAAGAAAAGAAAAGGGGAAGTGCTGTGGGATGGTCTGTATGTCAAATGTGTTGCTGATTGGTCAATGAATAAATCACTGATTGGTCAGTGGCCAGGCAGGAAGTATAGGCGGGACTAACAGAGAGGAGAATTGAGAGAACAGGAAGCTGGGTGAGGGGGATGCTCAGCTGCCATCAGGACAAGAAAGATGTAAAGTACCGGTAAGCCACAAGCCACGTGGCAAGGTATAGATTAATAGAAATGGATTAATTTAAGCTGTAAGAACAGTTAGCAAGAAGCCTGCCACGGCCATACAGTTTGTAACCAATATAAGTCTCTGTGTTTATTTGGTTGGGTCTGAATGGCTGTGGGACTGGCAGGTGTCAGAGATTTGTCCTGAGTGTGGGCCAGGCAGGAAAACTCTAGCTACAAAGTCACTTCATTTACATCTCTCTTCTGACATAGTTGCTCAAATATGCAGCAACTCTTCTTTTTATTTCAAATCAAGCTTTCATCCCTGGACGAGCTAACTTCTCAGATTTCATTACACAAGATTTTATATTTTATTATATTATCATGTTTTATAAACACGTATACAGTCATAGTTTTGAAGATATTCACCTCCAATTTCTTGATTATAATTTTTTGCCCTAACATACCTTAAATGATTTGTACATGCTGTATTTCAAGTTTGAGAATATAATAATTACTTGAGTGTTGAAATATGTGATAAAGGTCTTTCTTACACATGAAGTTGTGAATTTGAAGGGGATGGGCTGTGAAAGGATAGAGTCTTACTACTAAAACAGTTTATAATTGGGCAGTCTGGCCTACATAGCAAGTCTCAGGACAGCCAGGACTACATAGAGAGACCCTGACTCAAAAACATAACAAAACAAAGTAAGTCCCCAAACAAAACATACTACTACAACAAAACTAGTTCATTATGTTAAAAGAGAAGTTATGTGAAGTCATGTGCAGGAGATACAATGGGAAAAGGAAGTAGCCACATCTTGTCATAGGGATGGGGAGCCATGAAAAGGAAATGGAATAGTAAGTATATGTGCTGTCTTACATCTTACCTCACTTAATCTTCACAGTAATTTTAAGCTTCTTGATAATGTTTAGAAACAGGAAAATAATAGG